AAAAATTATTTCAGAAATTTAGAAAAAATCAAATAGATATAATACAGCTCTAGTTACTAACATATAAATGATAACACATTAAAATTATCAATGATTTCTGAGATACATTTTTGAAGGTTGTAAGTATATTTTTTTTTCTTTTTTATTTATTTTTTAAAGTATTTTATTAAATTTTTAAATTGTTAGCATACTCATTCTTACAAATCCTGATATTTCTTCATTTTTTTTTTTTAAAAAAGGAGCCATGAAAAATGGCTTTTCACTTGATATCTTTTCTGCTTTACACAACATTCAGGTATATCATGTTTTTATGTATAGCAGACTTTCATTTCAATGTTTCGCTATTGCTATAGATATATAATTGCAACGTATATATGTGCTGTATATTGTTGTTTGTTAGAAATAGGAAGTTTAATGTGTTTTGCACTAATAGAGGATTCATATTACTCATATCTTAAAAGGTTAGATTGTCTTTCTATTAGATTCTAAGATGAATAAATACAGTTAAATATGTATGTGCCACTATACTTCACACAAAAGTATAACACTGAATGAATGTAAGAACAGCTGACAAATGAGCCAGTTTTCCTCTCCTCCTCTAGCTTCCTGCTTCTCCTTATAAACTGCACTTTTATACCAACAGAGAGGACTGAAATAGAGAGAATCGGAATTTATCCTCAGATCATGTGATATATTCTTTGGGTTAGATTAAAGAAAGCTTGATGGTAGAGCCCATAAAATTGGGTCAGGTTGTGGTTCAAATACTGACTTATAATCTACTGATAACTTTATTTAACCTCTTTGAAGTTCAGTTTCTTCATTTATGAAATGTTAATAATAAGAGCATACATTTCACAGTGTCATTTGGAGAAAGAAGTAAGGCAATGAATACAGAATGGTTAGTAGGGTTACTAAGTAGTTGAAATACATTAATTCATTGTTATTGGATAAAATATATGCTCCCTCCCAGGAATGTCTGTGATCTCTACCAGGTTCTTGAAATCTAATTCTAAAAGCAACAGTGTTAGTTTAAAAATCAACTCAGTGGTTAATTACATTTGCTTCATAGGAGAGCCCTAATTAATGAATAAGAAGAACTAGATCAGAAACCTACTCTGCCCCAAACTATGGGAAAAATCACTAAATCAAACCCCTTACCTGCATAAAGGAAATAATTTTATCCTCCCTACCTGTGTCATAAGTTCAATTCAATGCAGCAAATATTTATTGAATACCTTTTCTTTGCAAATTATAGGTTGTTGAGAAATAAAAAAAAACATAAAGTTCCTGGAAAATAAAATAACATTTGTTGACTACTTAGCAATATGCTGGATACTATTCTCAGAACTTTTTTTCCAGAACTTTTTATGACTTACTTGATCCTCATAAGACTCCTGTGAGGAAAAGATACTTTTATTGTGTGTATGTAAGAGAAACCCTAAATAGCTTGCCTAAGATCATATAGCTAGCAAAGGTCAGAGCTGTGTACTTCATATATGTATGTCTGAAAAAATACCTCACACTAAGATATAAATATATGTTACTAAGATAAGCATGAAGTAAATCCATTATCAAGTATGGAACAAATACATTGTATTAATCTTGCATAGAGATGGAAATATTTTTTTTTTTGAGATGGAAATATTTTTGTGTCATGGCAATTATCTATACTTGTCATCAAAGTGTAGTATTATCTCATGTTCTATACTATATCTGCTTTGCTATGGTTGCAACATTCTCATTACCTGAAGTTTCACAGAAGTTCTCACATTTCTACTTGTTTATCTTACCTAACCTGCTGAACTTTTATCTCTTTTTTTTCTCCCCTCAAAATTAAATTTATTTTCTGAGGAGGACATGATTACTTTCACTTCTTTGCTATTTTTATCAAATAACTGAATGTAGACATTAATTATTAATTTTTGATCTATTGGTTTATCTCTATTTTACTATGTCCCATAAGAATTGGTTTTTAATAATTTTTAACTATGACCCACATTAAGAATTACATTTTACATTTCAGTCCAGTTCAAACACACACACACACACACACACACACACACACACACACACACACACACAGTATTCTACCCATATAGAACAGTCTTTCTAACTACATGAATGCACTTCTGTGTTTTCTATTCTAATCTATTGTAATTTAATTTCTAAGTATTGTCCATGCCCCACTAAATCAATTTCATGATACACTAACAAGTTATAGCACATATTTTAAAAAAATACTGTGGGGCCGGCCCGGTGGCGCACTGGAGAGTGCGCCGCTTGGGAGTGCAGCAGCGCTCCTGCCGAGGGTTCGGATCCCATGGGGAGACCGGTTCCCACTCACTGGCTGAGCGCAGTGTGGGCGCAACACTGAGGGTTGCGATTCCGTTGCCGGTCCCCGGTACGGGTGCGACACCGAGGGTTGCGATCCCGTTACCAGTCAGTAAAAAAAGACAAAAAAAAAGGAAAAAAAAAATACTGTGAAAGAGTTTGCTTTCATAGATTACTACCTTGGAACCCTTTTCAGAAGATACTTTCCAGCATTTTCCATAAGCACACGGTCCTACTAGTTGATATAAATCCCAATTAACCAAGGTGCTTAATCCCTCAATGTCCATTAATTTTCTTCAATAATTACTGCTCATGCTTTTCTTTACATTTGATAACTTTAAAAGCAATCATGGTGTCTTCAATGTCCCAAACAAATACATGGGACATTGGGAAAAACCTGAGTTTTGAAATTGTACAAAACCAGTGGAACTGGTTTCAGATCTGGGCTGTTGCTCTTGCTTGCTATACAATATTAGGCATGATCATTGAGTCATGTGAACCACAGCTTTTTTCTTTCTCATTTAGTAGAGATTGTAATACCATATCAGAAGGTCATTGTACTAATCATATAATGAAAATGCAAAATTCCTGACACAAATTAGGATCACTTCAAATGACACCTAATATTGCTGCCAAATGTTGCCATCTCATCAAGAAACATGCTTCTCTTCAGTTACTTGTTTGACTTAAGTTATGTATTAATGCAAAAAATTATTACATATTTTCTTTCATATTTGTTTATATGGTTGAATAATTTATAGGTGCCTGTGGCTTTCTAATAATCATCTACCTGTCTGTCATATCAGAGTCATTTACTGATCACTTTACAAACATTGCAATTAAGTTCACTAAAAATAAAATATAGTGGCTAAGCATTAAAATCTTAAGATAATATACATTTTTGATGTTACTTCAAGCCTCTTCAACAAGCTTGTATAAGGGAATGTTTCCTTTAATTATAGCATTTGAGTGATTAATATAATTGAAAGTTTCTTTGTAATAGCAAGTTAAAAT